AGTATCTATTGAAATGATCATACGGTTTTTCTCCTTTGTAATGTTTATGTGGTAGATTACATCAGTTTTCAAGTGTTAAGCCAACCGTGCATTCCTAAAATAAATTCAAGTTGGTCATGATATAAAATCATTTTCCTCAGTCACTGGGTTTATTTTGCTTGTGTTTTATATATCATTTTTATATCCATAAACCATAAGAAAAGTTAACCTGTAAATTTTTTTTTTATAGTATCTTTGTCAAGTGTTGTGGTTAGGTTTTGTTGGACTCGTGGAAAAGGTCGACAAGTGTTCTGCCCTTTCTACTCTGGAAAGTTTATGATTCAACCCTCTCCATTTTAGCCAGAAATATATGATCCTGCTTTTTCTTTCTCCCATACACAGCTTGCCTTTGAGAGGAGATCATATTGAACTACAAGAGGGTACGATGGCTGAGATCACAGCAACTTCAAGGACCTGCAACAGTCTCAAAAACTCAACTTAGTAACCTGTCTACCAGCTTTGCACTGTAAGCCTCACATGTATATTACTTGTGTGCGAGTAAGGTTTATCCTTAGTATTGTGTGAATAGACTTAAAATATAACATTGTATTTTACTACGAATATCCTTGTATAGCATTGCCCTATCTATTATCTCCTTTGACAATATACATACCTTTGAGTTATGTGAGATATACACAGTAGTTAATCCTGCTTTACTACGTTCAAGCTCACCTTCGACATAGACTAATGGTATTCTGACTGTATGTAGAAGCACTTTTTGCTTAGAGTCAAAGAACCCATTTAAGTATTAATGCAGGCTAATACTCAGTTTTTAATAGAAGCTAATTCTTTCAGATTTGTTACCATTGTTAACTTGCTTGGTAAGCATGCTTTGCAAAGTAAAATTTGGAATACAATTATTCACAGTACCTGGCAATGAATAAGAGACCAATAAACACTTGCTGAATTTACTAATAAATGAATAATGAATGACTGGAAAGTTACCCATCCTCTAAAACAAGAGTTGGCAAACTACAGCTCATGGGCCGGATCCAGTTCACTCTCTGATTGTTGCAGGAAACGTGTGTCGGACACGGCCACACTCATGTGTTTACATATGTTCTCTTTCAAAGTTAGATGTCTTCTGCCTTCAAAGTTGAGTAGTTGCAACAGAGACCATATGGCCCATAAGCCTAAAATATTTACTGTCTGGTCATTTACAGGAGAAGTGCGCCAACCTCTGCTCTAAAACACAACCTTCACTAAATATTGGAGAGGAGCCAGAACGCATCCACCCCAGGCGGCCCGTGCAAATGGAATCACTTCAGTTTACTGTTGAAGGAATAAAGGGTGGTACCAGCAGTGGAAATGCTGGTGACAAAAACAATGACTGAATTTTTTCTTGGAAGCATGGTCAGGTCTATTGTCCAAGGTCACAACGTGAAGGGCCAAGTCTCCACAGTGGACACTCTTTTTCTGAATGGGCTTGTATTGTCCAGCTTTTCCCCTTCTCCTCAGGGGCTTTGGTTAAATCCCTTTGTGAATTTCAGGATTTTTAGTGCCTCTTTTTTCCATAACAGGATTTCACTGAAGTCAAATAAAAAATAGTGATTCAGGCAAGGTGGGTTGTTAAGTTGATTGTGGCAATTCAGCAGATGCCTGGAGTATAACAAAGAGCTTCTCACAGCTATCCTAATTTCTTCCTTCTTCAAATGAATCCCTGACTCTTGAGCCAAATTGGTCAGTAATTCAATATGCAAAGAGTGGAAATTCCACCATGCTCTAAAAGCTAAGCAACATTTGTTTTCAATTTCCATTCTCCTTCCTCCGCGTTAGGAAGGAAATTCTTGTTAGTAAGAATTCTAGTGTCACTATGTTTTCATAACACTAAAGTATAAAGTAATTTGCAAAAACCCAAAACTTACTGTTTAAACTTAAACATGGAATATTCATAAGCTATTCATTCCTACCGCATGATGTGGTACACACAGAATATCAAGATGTCAGGAAAAACAAACGGTAAAACCTAAACCTATTCTAAAAAAAAAAACCAAGATAGCATCATAAATGATACCATTGCAGTCTTCTGGTAGCCAACAAAACTTATCAATTCACAAATCCCTTTTTTTGTGGCAAATGGTGGGGTTTTTTCCTGGTCATTCAACGTGGTGTTTTCTTAAACATCTTGTTAAATTGATTGACAAATTTTTAGTAAGGCACTATGTAGTCCCAGAAGCCAATTATATGTAAAAGCACAAGAATTAAGAATAATTGGGCACATGAATAGAGAATAATTGACCATAATATAATCCAGGGAGTCAGACAATATTATTTCCTAAGTACCCATTGCTTTCTAAAGACTATATTAGTGACGTTAGAAAAATTGCACAAAGACTAACTAGTGTATTTCATTTTAAGCAAACATATAATTCAGCTTTGTACTAGAGATAACAGTGAGTTTTATTTTTCTTTGAAAAATATTTCTTTCTGAAGGGATTTACTACATTTCTTACTCAGAAAAATAAGCAACCCTGATACATTACTTTTTGATTGAATTCATAAAATTACTTTAAACTTTTCAGGATATTTTGTGCAATAAGAAAAGTATACCTTAGGGCCAGCCTGGTGACACAGCACTTATAAGTTCGCACATTCCACTTCTCAGTGGCCCGGGGTCCGCCGGTTCAGATCCCAGGTGCAGACATGCCACCGCTTGGCACACCATGCTGTGGTAGGCGTCCCATGTATAAAGTAGAGGAAGATGGGCGCGGATGTTAGCTCAGGTCCAGTCTTCCTCAGCAAAAAGAGGAGGATTGGCAGTAGTTAGCTCAGGGCTAATCTTCCTCAAAAACAAAAGAAAAGAAAAGTATACCTTAGAATATTATCTTTTGAAACCATAATTTCAGAGAAAGGAGGAAGAAAAGAACTAGGAAAGAATATGTACTTTTGCATGGCTCAGGCTCTAAGAATAAAAGGGAATAATGGAAGGGGCATGGAGCACAGGTCCAGAAGAAAGAATTCCTGCGTCCTAAGCCTGGTAACCTTGAACAAACCAGTCAACATTCAAGCCTCAGGTGCTCAATCAGGACAAAAGAATAGAAATACAAGGCCTTGCCTGTTTCAGAGGATCCTCAGGAGGTAAACATGAGATAACTCACCTTAAGTAGATTCTATCAATTGAAAAACATCAAATATTTATTACACAGTATTAGTAGTCAGCATCGGTAGGATATTGTCTCAGTCATTTTGGGCTGCTGTATCAAATTATTGTAGACTGGGTGGCGTAAACGACAGTAATTTATTTCTCACCATCCTAGACACTGAAGTCCGAGATCAGGGTGCCATCATGGTCAGGTTCTTTGTGGGGGCCTTCTTGGTTTGCAGACAGCCACTTTCTCTTTGTCCTCACCTGGCAGAGAACAGAGAGAAAAAATACAGCCTCTCGTGTCTCTTAGTCTCTTCTCATAAGGACCCTAATCCCTTCATGAGGCTCCACCTTCATGACTTAATTATCTCCCCAAAGTCTCATTTCCAAATACCATCACACTGTTTATTAGAGGTGGGTTTTTCTGTAATGTTTTTTTTGAGGAAGATTAGCCCTGAGCTAACATCTGCTGCCAATCTTCCTCTTTTTGCTGAGGAAGACTGGCCCTGAGCTAACATCCGTGCCCACCTTCCTGTACTTTATATATGGGATGCCTAACACAGCATGGCTTGCTAAGGGGGTGCCTTGTCCGCACCCAGGATCCGAACCAGCAAACCCTGGGCCACCGAAGTGGAACGTGGGAACTTAACCACTGTGCCACCGGGCCAGCCTAGAATTAGAATTTTAGCATATGGATTTTAAAGGGACGCAAACATTCAGTCCATAGCAAATATTAAGAAAAAATTACCAAGTAGATCTTCATAGACTTTCAGATTGTACTGTGGGGAGTGATTTATTCCATGTATTTATGCCCGAAGCTAATTCTACTCTTAGCTCAAATGCCCAACATTTCTTAAATGGAAACATTCAGCTTATTTGACCATATCAGTGTTCATTCTACTAAGTTAACTTTATATAGAAACTTTGCTGTTAAGCTTCTTTGGCCACTGGTACAAAGGAACAGACATTTTCATACATCAGTAGAAACTGATGGAGTATAAATGGAGAGCAAGCAGTTTCGTATAAATGGAGAACAATTTAGCAATATCCATGAAAATGTAAAATGCCCTCAGCACTGGACCCAGACACACACTTCTAGGAATTTGTCTTAAGGTTATACTACAGAAGGGTACTATTTTCATTTTCCCTTGGTCATCATAAGTATAAAAATATCAATTGCACTATTATTTTAATAGCCAAGATTGGAAACAGCATAACTGATCTTTTGAAAATTAATAAGTACATTTTTATTTATTAATAATTGGTTAAATAAACTATATGCATTCCACAACAGAACGTTCTGCAGCTGTTAAAAATGATAATGCAACACTCTAAATTTATAGGGAACAGCCTCCAGGAGACTGGTAAGCTAAAAAAACAATGCAGAATCTTGCATAATATACTATTATTTGAAGGAAAAAAGAGATATGTGTATGTGTGTATGTTTGCGTATGCGTGCATGTGCTTACACAGACCATCTCGGGAAGAACTGTGTAAACGGTAAGATGGTTGGCACGAGACCTGGGAGCTGGGAAACTGGGGGGGGGGGGGGGGGGGGGATGTGAGAAGACTATATCTTACTGTATACCCTTCATTTTGAATTTGGGTTGATAAACATATAATACTCGAAAAATTTTCTGTAAATAAAATTGGCAAATAAGACTTCCTATTACAGTTGCAGGTTAGTTTACTGACTGTTAACAGCTAGAACATTCAGAAAACTTGAAACTAAAAAAAAATATGCTTTATATCTCTTTTTTAGAATATCATTTAAAAAAAATCAGTTCTTAGTTTCCATGATGATTTCCTTTGTTTCAGTTCTAGAATGATGATTCCTTAGAATAATTAGGATTCCAAATTAGATTGTCACCTCATTCTCAACAGGCGTTCATGAATTTCCCGGTGGTAATAAAGAGTCGAAAAGAAATAACAAAATTTCATAAAGGCTTGCACTAGTTCCAAGCTGTGTGGAGACATCATGGAAAGGTGGTTCTCCTCAAAAGCTGCCGAGATGACTACAGAAAACAAATGGAGGTAAAATAATCCAGCACGCTCATATAATCCCAGTTGAGACTCAGTTCTCTCTAGGAGAAAGGAAGGCCCTGACGACTGCACACTCCCCATTTTGCCCCAGGCTTGGAGCCATGGCCACATTTTAGTGGGGAGCCAGTGGGGAAAGACTCATAAGGTAAAAACAGGATGGGCCAGAGTTGGGGACGTTAAGATCAATGGGACGAGGAAGAGAGTGCCTCAAGGCAGGCAGATCCTATCTATATGTCCTGCTTCTGGGTCCAGGCCATCTGGTCTGATGTGAAAAGAACATCAGTAGAAATCTCTAGGTAGTGGTAAAATGCAGGTGTCTGGAATTGGCATGGTCTGAGGCCATTTGTGGGGAGAAGCTTTCAATCTCATTTAAATTAGGATCCTAGTTACAGCTATGTGACCCCAGGACAAGGTTCACCTGCTGGGAAGATGAGGCTGGAAAACAGTAGGCGAGGCTCAGCTACTTGTGTGTACACTTGAGTGAGAGCTGCCACCCCAAGAGAAAGTAGGTGAGCTTGGAAGGCGTAGCCAAGGGAAGAGCTCCCCCAGAAACATGGGGCCAAGAAGTGCAGCAGCAAGACCTAGAGCAGACCTCAGTCATTAGGAACAAAGCGTGAGTAATTTCTAAGTCATGATCCTTAACTCTCTGCTCCTTTTTATAGCTTTATTTTTCTTTCTCAGAGAACTCAATCTGAGGTATGCCATTATTACTTGACTAATGACTCCAAGTGAGCATCTCTCAGCCTGTTCTAACTTGCATTCTCCTGCACCTCTTTCCAAGGCTTGTTTGTTTCTTTGCTTGCTTGCTTTATTCTCTAACCACAAACTAGACATTTCCTATGGGACGTTCCACCATCATTTTAGACTCAACATGTCTTCTTAAGCCAAATACAACATCTTCCTTTCCTTCCTTTTCTATCCCCCTCCTTCCTTCCCTTCTCCCCAACTTCTTTGTTCTGTCACTGATATCTCCATTCTCTCTGTGACCCAAGTTCAAAACCATACAGCTATTTCTTTTTTGCCATCTTCTCAGAAATCCAGCATTGCAAAGTTCTGCATTCATTCATTCAAATATCATAGAGTGGAAACTAGTGCAAAACTACGATGCAGGTATTATCCCTCCTTAGAAATACACCTTCTCTCTGTCCACTCCTTCCTATTTCCACCACCACACACTCAAGACCTTCATAACTGATGGTTTCAATTATTGCCAAAGCTTCACGTCAGACCTCCAGGATTCAGATGCTCCTCTTTCTAATCTGTTCTTATCTTTGGGTTAAATTTAATGTGTCATTCTCATGTAGGCACTGCGTTGTAATTGCCTGGTGCTCACTTGTCTCCCTCTCTAGGCTGTACACTCTTTAAAGGCAGGCTCACCTACCGTTGTCTCCCCAGAGCCTACATTAGTGTCTTAAATATAATAGCATTCATAAAAAACTGTTTAATAAACTCCTGGAAACTTTCAAAGTCTCCTTCTAACTGGCTGCATCAAACCTCTCTCTCTCTGCTTAGCTTTCACAGTCCTTCATCGTCTGGCCACAGTTAACCCCATTTCCTCACTGCTTTGCCACCTGCTTCTTCTGTACCCCTCAGGCTCGTGTCCTCACAGCCCTATAATACGCATGCTAATTCCCATCTTCACATGCTTATCTCCAACATCTGTTGCCTGAAATGTCCCCCTTTTTCCTTTCTTTCAGAGGATCTTGACTCTGCCTCCAGCTGTGGCAGCTTTTCCACCTAGAGAGAGGGAGTGGCTGAAGGATGATGGCCGTTCCCTTCCCTGCCTCCTCGAAGAGACATTCACTGCCCGCTCTGTGCTCCCAGTGTCAGAGAAAGGACAGGCCCTTTCCATACTAAGGTTTTGGCAAGTGAGTCCAAGTCCATCAATGATGTGAATGGAGTTGAAGGACAGAAAGTAAACCCTGTCGGAGGTTACGAAGAGGTCTTTCGTTGAGCACAACTCCTGCAGCACCCAGGTTCAGCAGAGCGGGTGGGGGAAGGGGACAAGGAGGTTCACAGACTGTCAGATTTGCCAGAGGTTAGTAAAAGGACACAGGCGTCCATTTGCTTCCTGCTTCCCTGGCTGACCCACTCCTTGGGTAAAGATTGGGCATTTGGCAAATCTGGTTTCTGTCCTCAACACCCTCTCAATTCCCTCTGCATAGGTACTATCTGAACTTTTAAGAAGCTGAAAGACCCTGCAGGGATTCTGCTGCCAAAGTTTTTGAGGTGAGTGAAAGGAGAGGCAACTGATCATTCTAGACCCTCTTTACCGGTGGCCCAAGGAGGCCTGAATATCCACCCCACCCTCTGCCATTACCACGAACCACAAGTTCAATTTAACATAACAATTTACATGCCTTCTCAGTTGCCAAATGTTTGGGAGATTCCACATGTAGAGGAACGAATAAGACATGGTCCCTGGTGTCCCAGCTGCTTCAGCATGCCAACACCTCCGCCATGAACTCTGTTACAACGAGCCCACACAAGGCTCCCCACTACCACGCCAGCCCCTCTGGATGTTTCTGGAACCCACCTGCTCTCTGACCTCACTTCAAGTTCCTTTCAGAAGATCTAGATTTTCTTATGCACCACCAACCTCTGCAGACTTGACTTGCATTTTTCCATTTCTTCCTTAATTCCCAAAGCTCTCTTTTTACTTTGCACCCTGATTCTCCTTTGCTTCCAGCTTTTCTCACGTACAGATCTGGCTGCAAAAATCTGGTTGCACAACAATGCAAATGTATTTAATGCCACTGAATGTACACTTAAAATGGTTAAAATGGTAATTTTTGTGTTACGTGCACTTTACCACACACACAAAAACATGTCATGTTCAACCAGAGCCCCCATCCCTGGCCCTGGAAGCAGAGGTTAGTCACTTGAAAAGGAACTCAGACTCAGGTACAGGAAATACAATTCATACATCCATAAATTCAGCAAACATTTATTGACCATCTACTGCATGCTAAACCCCACACTGGGAACTAAGGATTCAGGTAAGACCATGAAAGATATAGTACTATCTTTATAAAGTTTTTATTCTAGCCTGGGAGGTAGTCATCAAGCAAATAAGCTTAGAATTAAATAATTCACTAAAACAGAGATAAATGCTATGAAGGGAAACTCAGGGTCCTATGAGAGCACATAACAGATGGACAGACGCTAGTTTGGGGGTTCAAGGAGGCTCTCCTGATAAAGTGATGTTGAAACTGACACTTGAAAGATGAGTAGCCATTTCCTAGGCAAAGGGGTGTGGTGGGGATGGTGAGGGAGTAGAACATTCTAGGTAGGATGGAACCACATGTGTAAAGTAAAAGACTTTTCACAAATCGTCAAAGTTAATGTGGTCCTTTTGAAGGACTGCTGGAAGCCAGTGAGGGAATGAGTGGAGAGAGGCAAGACATTAGGCTGGCTGCTGACAAAAGCACTGACTCCAGACGCACTAAAGTTAAGGCTACATAAAGGCGTACAGAGGAAAGAGTCATGGCTTCTCACTGGGGAAAGGATGGGTTGTAAAAACCTCCTGAAGAGTTAATATTTGGAAGGAATCAGAGAGGTTGACAGCTGAAGAAGAAAGCACAGGCATTCCAGGTGCAGAGGCTGCCTAAGCAAAGGCACAGACACAGGAAAATGCTGGGGGCATTTGGGGACAGGAAGTAGTCCTATTTTGGTGAAGTACAGAAAGGATAAGGAGGGGACAATGGGGATAAACATGAAAGCTAAAAAGGAAAATTAGAAGAGCTTCATTTCAGTCTTTAGCCAGGACAGCTGGTCCCAGAATAGCGGGTAGGAGTGTCCTACCCACTGTCTCTCAGGCTCATGTGTCTCCTCCTACCTCCCATGGCTGGCCCTGCAAATCAAAACACCAGCCCGCGAGCATCTGTAACAAGGCAATGCCACAACTGAGACAAACTTGGCTCTCCCAGGCCTCAGGTCACAGTGCCAGAGGGAGCCCTCCCATCTGGTTAAACAGCTTGGAAGAAGTACCAAAATTAGCCAGAGTACAAATGATGCGAGGTTAGAGGGTCTGGGATCAGTACAGCACCAGAGTGTAGATACCCGTGGACCACATGGCTTCTTCAAGCCTTTGGTGGGATGCAGGGAATTAAAGAGTTTGCATGGGAAACCACCAGGTGCCCAGCTTGGTAGGCAGAAGCATTCTCAGCAGCGTCAGTTGGCCCCTGGCTTGACAAGGGGATTCTGACAAGCTTTGCCTTTTGCCATTTTGTGTTTATCTTTGGCTCCAAAGACTCTGCATTGGCTGTTTTCTGTAAACACACTCTCTGCAAGTCGGATTACTCACTTGTCCAGATGGAGGGCCAAGTGTGAACATGTAAGATTACTATTAGCCTGTTTTTCCTGCTAACAATAAAGACCGTTTCCCCAGAAAACTGTTGCTGGAAGTCGGCCTGCTGGGACACAAGCCTCCCTCATGCAATTCGCATCTGTGGTAGAAACCCAGCTCCAGCTCCTTGGGACCCTCATCCTCAGAAGCTCGCTAAGGAATCCCTGTCCTCGTCTGGCTAAGGGCCAGAGCTGGAGCGCACTCCCACAGAGGCAAGCCCAGCCCTGAACCTAAGGGGGACATTCCCAGGGGACCAGGAAACCCTGTCAGCACTGAGGTCATGGGGCCAGGCCTGCAGAAACATGAGGGTCTCCATTTCTGCCATCGTAAATTGTGGTGTTGGAAGGAACCATAAAGATTTTTTAGTTCAACTCCATTTCACAAATGAGAAAACTGAGACCTAGAGAGAGGAAGGGACCTGCCTACACAGAGGCAACTCCTTGTGCAATTCCAGGCTGATTGCTTCAGGATTCAAATTTCCGTGAAGAAAAGTTGGTCACGACCAGCACATTTGTAAAAATGGAGTTTTTAACCATTTCGCTAATGAAAGACCTAATATTCTTCTATAAACAAACAAAAAATCTTATAGAAAGATCTCTTTGGTGACTTTTCTAAAACTGAGGGTGTGAAGAAATTAGAGGCATTTTTCTAGTATGGGAATACAGGTTTAGCATTACAGGTCATTATAAGGATTGAATGGCCTCAAGTATTAAAAAGCAAAATAGAATAGTTCTCCTGAACCATCTAGAGACTGGGCTGTTGGCTCTTCAGGGGTGAAATTTTACCCAGAAACTATACTCATGGTCCAGGGCCTCTGCATGAAACATCCCCAACCTGGCCTCCTCATCGCTATAACTACGCCCACCCTCCTTCTCCCATCTTCCTAGTATAATTGTATCACAATTATTCTTACGATGCTGTAAACGTAGTTGATTGGTGAGCCAGGAGCATGTTCTGATTGCTTTTTTGTTTCTTGGGCTTTTCCTCCCAGAGTTGCCTCTTTCTTCCCCTTCTTTGGCTATTTAAATTCCATGCTAAGTTTTTCCATACCCTGAACCAGCTCTGTGAAATGCCTCTCCATTCAGTTTTCCGCTAGGATAAATGAGTCGAATAACCTACAATTCCATTTTGCCGCTGGAAGCATCCCTTGGGAGCATTTTAGATTATCCTTTGTAGTGACTTCAATTCCTCCCCTATAAGAAAGGTAAGGATCTGCCGACCACTCTCCCCGGCCTTGCCCCAGAAGCCTGCTTTTTAGAAAACCAATGCCATGATATTTAAGTGCTAGGGATACTTCCTCTCCAGCCTTCTAGAAAAATAACGTTGGAAGAAGCAAAGATCCTCTAGTCATATACAGCTCGTTTGGCCTCAGACCGTGTGGAGTCCGCTGACTTGTGTGCCCACAGGGGTGTCACAGAGAGTGTGATGGCTTCATGTCTGAAGGAATCCTGCCTCTGCCACCTGTAAGCTGTCACAAAGGGCCTGACTCTGAGCTTCCTTGTCCTCACTCTGTGCAATGGAGGCAAGAACGCCATTCTAAACACCTATAAGATAATAGAATGTCAAATCACCTAGCAGAGATCCAGATACACTATTGATACTGTATTAATATTTATTGAATTGAAAAGCATGAACTTAGTCCTCCTGATTTAGCCTTCTGGTAAGACAGACCTAAGACGCCTTAACATTCATACATCTGTCTTGAGATTATGCACGCAGATTCCTCTGATACATGGAATTTACCAACTTTCTGAAATCTCCTCTTTTAAGAAGTCTCCAAGCACAATGGTTTTAGGGGACTTGAATGCCAGGGTTAGCGATGGCTCTGCCAACGCTTTATTCATAGGAAACTCAAATAGTTAGATTGGTTCTTTGAGAGCCATTTACCCAAAAATATCTGCCTGAATCCAAGGGAAAAACAATGGCCCAATCTCATTTATCATCAACATCGATTAATATGAAACAAACACCCATGAGATAAATATATGGGGAATTTAATTTGCAGTGTCAAACAAGAGGCCAATCTTATCTTTAATCACCTACTCAGCCTTTCACCCATTATTTCCATCTTTAAGACGCGCAGTGTAGGCCCACGTTGAAAGTGGCTACACCTCTCTTAAGTTGCCTCTGACCGTTAAAACCTCTGTTTCTGAGTCTCAAATGGAAAATTTCAGGTTATGGAGCTGAAAGTTTCAAATGGAATGAGACTCTTTCTAATTCCCAAACTAGCCTTCTTAAGGTGAAAACATGTGGTGTGCTCTTCTCAGATTGCGTCCTGACCGTGTTCCCTCCAACTACGGCAAGGAGCTGGAGACAAGCCACACCCAGCCTCTCGCTCTGTGCTTGGCCAGGGAACTGGTCATTCTGCTCCTGGTTGGATGGAGTTTGACAGGAAGTCAAACCAATTCATTCAACACTAAGAAGAAATTATCTTAAACGGAACTCAAAAAATCCTTCCTAAAATCTATTATGTTGAAATGATTAATGCAGCAATAATTTTTAACACATAAGGTCACCAAACTTCTTGGTCTTCTGTAAAAAGTTGTGCCTAAAAAAAGGTTTATTATGGATTTCCATCAACTTCCAGCAGAAAATATAGATATGGTAATATTCTATAAGCCTGGACACTAGCATTCTTTTGTTAACATAATTGTAATAGGAAAATTGAACAAAATGCAGAATCATAAATATCATTTCATATGGCAGGCAATCAGACACATGGCACAGTGGAAGAACATTGAACTTGAATTCATGCCTGCTTAGCCATTGCCTAGCTCTGTAGCCTCGGGTGAGTATTTCAACATCTCTGTGCTTCAGCGTCTTCGCCTATGAAACAATATCTCCCCAGCACAGACTTGTCTTGAAGATGTAACCAGATGCTATAAGTGAAAGTGATTTGTGAAATGCTAAAGTTTGATCCTAATATAAATACTATTTTTGTATTAAGTAAGTCCAAAATGAGGGTATTCCTTAGTTGGCATTTTCTATTTTCTATTTGAGATGGCATGAGTTAGAAAGATGAACATTTGGAAAGATGTTTATCTCTAAGTTACTTTGAGGCTCCTCAGACCACACCAGTGCACCAAGATGATGCTCATCCAAGCCCCCACAACAAGCACCCTAGATTGCATAAGCCAGCTCTTGAGTTCGAACTGGAAAAGGTAGTTGATCTTAGTTGACCTTGCAATGTGTTCCCCTCTAATCTTGTGCTACCGTGTTGCACAAATACAACCAACTTCACTTCTCTCCATACCCCATTCCTCCTGCTTAGAAAGGGGCCATGCCTTTGTATAGCTCTCACATTCTATACTGCATCTGGTACCTGGTGAATGATCTTTATTTACGTCTTATATTTGTGCTTTGATGATGACCAGGCAATTTTTCTCTCACCTAGTTCAGTTTCCTGATTTTCAATAGAACTCCCAAGAGTAATCTGGTTTTGTCTCTGTCTCCCTGTCTTTTGGTCTCCCTATCTCTTTGTTTCTGTTTCTTAATCTCTGTCTCTTATCTCTCGGTCTCTTTGTCCTTCTTTCATGCAAATACATGCACACACACATACACGTTGATCCAGGCCTTCAGTATCCTAATTTAGAGTCTATGTTTTCCATGTAACATTTTTGACTAAGCATCTCCTGAGCCCCAATTCACAATGCAGCATTCTTCGATTCTTCCCAGGCACGTTTCAAGTGCAGGCTCTGGATTATTTTGATTGTTGTGTTATCTGCACACAGACACCACAAAAGAAATTACTCACTCTTGGAGAGAGATGCCAAACCCCTAATTTAAAAACACCAAATGAGTAATTCCCAAAGCATTATTTCTCTTCCAAACCCAGAACATTTTAATTACCTCGAAATAAACAAAGAGCCCTTGCAAGGCTAACTCAAATTGTTTATTCAAAATTTTCCCTCACCTATGTGCTAGGGATTTCCACCTGCCCCACAATTCCTCATGACTTGAGCCTTTTTTCACTCTGCCACCCATCTGGCAAAGAACTCACTAACAAGGGAAGTAAACTTTGCACCCATTACTACTCCTAAATTGGCATGAAGTCTAAAGTAAGCACAGAAACAAGCAATGGCCCATCTCTTTCTTTCATTGTGCATTGGCTAGGCCAAAATGGTCAGGCTTCCTGCTGTGGCTACATATTTAGTTGTGATAAAGAGCAAAGAAAACCAAACAGCTTTAAGGACTGAAGTGGTACTCTCCCGACCAAACGATTTGTGCTATTAGTGTTGCAATCTGACAAGCACAACACATTTCCCTTTCCAGAGGAGGCAGATGACAAGAACAGAGGCACAAGGGGCTGAAAACAGTTCAGATGCAGTTGCGAGGAAGAAAGACCTGTTGATGGAGTTGTTCCCAAACACGCATCCAGCCTAACTCCAAACTGCTCTTTGCAAACAAAAGACTCCCACCTCCCTCAAGGAGTGATGAGACAATGGAGTCCCTGTCACGCCACTGCTGCTCCGAAGGAACTGAATTCTGGAAACAGATTGTGGAGTGTTTACCAGCCGACAAGTAAAACTGAGGAACGTAATCCCTCTGTGCCATCCATAATCCTCTCTAATGTGTCAATGCCCTTAGATTAAATAGACTTTTCCAACCCAATAGACTGACCTAAGTCAGGGGACAATCAGGAATTTGGGCCCTTCATCTTTTCAGCAAAGAATAATAAATTGTTTAAAATCTCATTTATAAAGACAAAACTATTTTAATTGAAGGATTAACATCTTTAATTCTGTAAAATTTTCAGGTTATTTCTCTTAATATTTCTTCTTCGCTATTCTTTTTAGCCTCTCCTTCTGGAGTTCTTATGACATTTTTTGGAGCTTTCCTCCATATCTCTCAACTTTTCATATTTTAAACCTCTTTATCTGCCTTCTAGGTCATTCCTTCAGTTTTATCTTCCAATTCTTAACTTTTTCTGCAGCCATGTCTACCAGAGCTGGGACAAGGGTGAGCCGGCACTGTGCCCAGGGTGCACAATTGAAGCAGGCATTCATACACTCCTGGGCTTGTGCAAGTTCAGGGTCTACATCTGACAGCGAGTGCCTCCTTAAAGTGTGCACCCTGGGTACCTCCCTTGCCTCATCCTAGTCTTGGCCCAGATGTCAAGTCTACAGTTTAGCTTATCAGCTACAATTTTCATTTCAAGGAGTACATTTTCCAAGTTTTCTAGATGAATATTTTTAATACCTTACTGTTCTTGATAAAGAATCCTTTGTTCTCTTTCCCTCTTTGACTTACTTGATGATTCCAAAGTACTTATTTTAACACATTTTCCTATTGCACCATTTTTTCTAGTTCCTCATGTGTGGAATCTATAGATTCTAGATTTCTAGTTCCTAATTTGTGGAATCTATAGATTATTGTGTCTGCCAAATATTCTCATGACAGAAAATGTCCTTATGTATTTTATAATTCTTGTTTGAAACCTTATCTTCTTGGGAGCCATTTTCTGGTAGATTCTGCTCCACATCAAGTGGTTTCAGGGTTGGTTACTTTACCCTGGTACTCCAGGTGTGCACCACCAAGCCAGGATGGAGTATCTTACTCCCAGCCACCTCTGGTAGTACTGCATTGAGGGCTATGGCTAGAGGCAGCAGGGCCTGGCTCCCATTCTCATCCAGATGTCTTGTTTCATCCCAGGACCACAGGCAAGCAGGATCCAATGATGGGTAGTTAGTGGAATTTTTTCATGTCTACTGACAGTCAGAAGCTGTAAACACTGATCTCAGCTTCATCTGGGAAGCCCAGTTCAGGTGTTCTGCCTTTTGAGGGATGAGCAAGCAACACCTTCATCACCAAATGATCTTTGAAGCTCAGCCTCTACTATTTGTATATATATCTGTTTGCCATGAGCCAATTGCCTTTAGCCTCTGTTCCCCACTATAGGTTTCTGTTAGTTCCAGATCATTGGATCTCATCCTCTTGTTTCTGTATGGAACTGTGTTTACCCAAAAGAAAAAAAAAAAAGTCGAACAAGTTTTTTTGGTTTTTTTCTTTCTGTCTTTTTTAAAGATGAGAAACAAGGTAAAAACAGGTAAGAGAGCAGCTATATCAACATGACAAGGAAAAATATAACATCACTAGTGCTAACTTATTGTGGGAGTAGTTGAGTCCCAATCAAATGTCCCTTGTGCAGTTATAGTCACAGACATGAGGACAACCCCACCCACACTTAGTCTGCATAAACATGTTTTTTGTTGTTGTTCTTGTTTTTTGTGAGGAAGATTGTCCCTGAGCTAGCATCTGTTGCCAATCTTCCTCTTTTTGCTTGAGGAAGATTGTCACTGAGCTAACATCTGTGTCAATCTTCCTCTATTTTATGTGGGATGCCATCACAGTGTGGCTTGATGAGTGGTGCTATGTCCACACCCGGGATGGGAAGCTGTGAACCCCAGGGGCTCCAAAGCAGAGTGCACAGACTTAACCACTATGCTACTGGGTCAGCCGCAAAACATAGGTTTTATATAAACCTTTCCCTTTAAGAGCCAAGGAGGGGCTGGCCCCATGGCTGAGTGTTTAAGTTTGTGCACTCTACTTCGCCAGCCCGGGGTTTCCCAGGATGGAATCCTGAGCGGGGACATGGCACCGCTCATCAAACCGTGTTGAGGCGGCATCCCACATGCCACAAGTAGAAGGACCCACAACTAAAAAGTACACAACTATGTACCATGGGGCTTTGGGGAGAAAAAAGAAAAGTAAAATCTTTTTTAAAAAAAAAAAAGTGCCAAGGAGATTTGGAACATGCTCATTTTACCATCTTGAGCAGAAATCTAAAGAAAAATTTTAATGTACAGATTTTATCACAGGGGAAATCTAAATTCTAGTTTGAAAGTTCTAGACTAAGTTTAGTCTTAGCGATAAAGTCCTGCCTTTTTCCTGGAAGCCTGGTATAAGCCTTGAGATTCTTTCCGTTCAGGCTTCCAGCGGGGCTGGGTCCCACCGGTTCACCCTCTCCGCCACTACTGCCCCTATGATTTACAGTTGTCTTCACTTTTCCCTCTGATTGACTTGCTGGGAAACTGGAATGTATTGGCCCATAGAGCTGAGCCGTGTTTGGCTCTGGTAATCTTGTCAAAGGCCACAAGGTGCTTATGTCAATTTCCTGCTTTTGATATCAGTTATCGATTTTTGCATGAAAAACCATCATAAAGATTAGTAACTTATCTAACAAAACATGTACAGGCTCCATAAGCTGAAATTTACAAAATTCTGGTGAAAGAAAGCAAAGATCTAAATCAGTGGAAAGATACACCGTGATCATGGATTGGAAAACTCAGTGTAGTAAAGAAGTCCATTCCCCCCAAATTGTTCTATATATGTCATGCAATTCCTATCAAAATCTCAGCAAGTTTTTTTGTAGGCATAGAAAACCTTATTATAAAATTTATGTGAGAAGAAAAAGAAACAAGAATGGCTAAACCAATTATGAAAAAGAAGCATTAGGTAGGAGAAATCATTGTACCTAATATTAAGACAACTATATAGCTATAGTAATCTTAATACTAATAGTTACATAACTTAATAATTGCTGATTGCTAGTGGTAAATTAACAGACACACAGATCAACAGAACAATATAGAGAACGAAGAAATTTGGTTGATTTCATTTACAATGATTTGATTGATTTTTTTTACAATGGTGCAAAAGCAGTTCAAAGAAGGCTGGATAGTTTTTCCAACAAACTGTGTCGGGACCAAATGTAAGCTAAAGTGAACCTCACATCACATATGAAAATTAATTCAAAATGGATCCCATCGACTTAAATGGAAAACAAAACTGTAAGCCTTTTTGAGGAAAACAATAAAATCTTCAGGACCTGGGGCAAGGTGAAGGGTTCTTAGATATGACACCAAAGGTACAGCACACAAGAGAAAAATTAATAAATTAGATGTCATCAAAATTAAAAACATTTACACTGCAAAAGATTCTCTTTAAGGGGATAAAAAGACAAGCTACAGACTGGCAGAGAATGTTTGCAAACCATCAAAGAACTTGTTTCTAGGACAAACTTGGTACATCCATCAGTGAAATTCTATTCAACAATAAAAAAGAAATGAACTCCTGATTCATGTAACCTGGATGGACTTTAAAAGGGTATATATTGTATTATTCAGTTTACATAACATTCTTGAAAAGACGAAACGATAGAACTGGAAAACAGGTTAGTGGTTGCCAGGGGGTAGGGATGAGAGTGTGGTGGGGGGTGGGTGCAAACACAGAGGCAGCAGGAAGTTCTTTCGTAGAGATGGTTGTGGTTATGCAAATCCGCATGTGGACTACAATTGCGTAGAGCTACACACACACATACACACACACATAAATGAATGCAGATTTTTAAAAACATGGTGAAAACTGAGTAAGTTTAGTCTAGTTACCAATAATGCACCTATGTCCATTTCCTGCTTTTGCTACTGTACTACAGCTGTATAAGAGCCCACCCTTAGGGAAAGGTGGGTGAAGGACGCACCAGACTTTATTCCATTTGCAGCATTTGTGAATCAATGAAAAAGTTAAAAAAAAATTACTGGCTTAAGGCAACAAGCATTTAGTGAGCACACCATTCTTATGAGTTGGCAGTTTGGGCTGGGATCAACTGAGCAGTTCTTCAGCTAGTAACTCATGCCTTTGCAGTCAGCTGCCAGTCAACTAGGTGTGTCTGCTTCTGGGGTGATGGGGGCCACGATGCCACATATCTCTCCTGTTCAGCAGGCCAGCCGAGACTTGTTCACACGGTGGCAGTTAAACGGTTGCAAAAACAGCAGGAGAACACGGTTCAGTGTGCAAGCTCTTTACAAGTCACCGTTTGCATCAAGTTGCTACAGTCCCATGATGCAAAGCAAATCTTATGGCCAACCCGAATTCCAAGGATGGGGAAATAGACTCCAGCTACCGTGAGAAGAGCTGCGAAAATGTTGTGGCTATTGTTTTTCAATCTGCTATAACCACATTATACTTCCGAGTAATGGAGAGAGAAATTGACTTAGAAGTTCAAGGCTTCCTTTCTCCAATTTGCCGTTTCTCATACGTTCTCAATCCTGAATAATAGTACATGGAGAAAAGAAGAGAACAGAAATGTTTTCTTAAAGCATGCAGAGGATGGTAGCAGAAAATTTCCCATCTTCAGGGACTTATTCCACAGACTCAAAAGTCCAAAAGCTGGAACTATGTGGGTCAGGTCTAACTGAAGTGAGGCTGTGGGAAAGTGAGAGACTAGACTAAAAAAGCTCCTTGAGGAATAGGACTATGTCCGACATTTCTTGGTATCGCTCACGGGCCCTGTATAGATAGTTAATGCTCATTCGGTATGTCATTGAGACTGAGAAACAGCCCCACAGTCCTGGCCTGATTACCATTGCCCCTCTTCTAGGTAAACTAGCACACGACATTGGTCCGGGGTAGGTCGGTCGGAGAACAGTAATCTTTTCCAGGTTCCGAATATTGTTTGGGTTTTTCCTGCTTCATATGTCTCTAACATATAGTTTCAAAGTATTTGCAGGAGTAATTACTGGGCTTAGGCAATTGTGAAAATGAAGAACCTGACCCAAATACTGCTCAGGCCTCTCCAAATGGAGCCCAGAACCTAGAGATCTAAAAGACACTGATCTGACAGCCAACAAGCCCAGGCACATCTTGGGTTTTTAGGTTTTGCCAG